AACGCGACAGGAGCGGGTCCTGGCTGCTCCATGCCCATCATGTCCACTGTCTGGGGACCCAGCCATAGCCCTGTTGGTGCTTTGGAGTCTCTTAGCATCCACAGCTGCCTTCCCCTTTTCCCCTCTCCCCTAAGGACACCTGCCCCACTGCTTTGGGATCTGCCAGCTCCCTGTGATGGGAGCTGAGGTGCAGCCCGATGCCAAGGTTCAGCAGGCAGGACAGGCTGGTGCAGGCTTGGTGAGGTTTGGGCCAGTTATGCAACACAGAGGGTTACCTAAATAGCTCGTGCATTTACTGGAGTAGTTTTTGAAAGACTGTTGAGGGCCTCAGAGCTGCCAGGTCACTCCTGCAGAGCTGTAGAAGTGGCTGATAAGTAAACTGCAGGGACCCCCATGGTCACTAACAACCACCTTGCTGCCTCCAGTCTTTCAAGGATCTTAGAGGATGCTGCAGCTCCAAGATGTTGTTGGGTGTCCCTGCAGAGCTTGCCAGTGGGAGCTCTCCCCTCCGACGCTCTCTGCTCCCCACCAAGCATCTGAGGCAGCAAAGCACAGACCAAGGGGACAGACAGCAACATGGGCAGAAAAAGCCAGGATCTGGCTTTCTCTGTGTTGTCTCTTCAAAAATGAATTACTGCTTTAAAAGTGGTCCATACAAAATTGTTCCACCTGGAGCAAGCAGAGATGGGGGTTCACCATGGGCAATAGGACAGCTTTGTATTAAGAAAGCAAAAGTAGCATTAGAAGAAAGAGACTAACAGCAGACTTAGCAGTATCCAGGGGGAGTCTTAAGATGGGATTTCATCCCAGGCTACATTGAATCAATTTTTGTCCTAGCAAAGATCCTCCATGTTTGCTTTGATTTTGGTTCCTCTAATTCTTCTAGTTCCCTTGCTGTCCCCAGGCAGCATTAATCTGGCATTACATGTGCCCTGGTGGAATACGAACGCATGGGTATTACCCAGAGTGACTCTCGGTGTGTGACTCGCTTGCTGTGTGAGGTTCAGACCCACTTCTAATTTTAGAATAAATAAGGATATCAAGGAACATTGGGGTTTAAAATCATTGAAAGGGCAAAAAGGGCCACCTGTTGGGGGTGTAATGCTGCTGGTCGGCTCCATGCGGTCACAACAACCCTGTTGATTCAGCACACACCTGATTTATTCTATGTGAAGTGGGAAGTGGTTGGATGATACAATTACTCTGTAGGATACCTGAGGTTTCCTATTTGACATAACTACAGTGCAAAAATAATTCAAAAGGGAAATATATTCCTGTTTTATAACCTTCTCCTCTTCATTTGTTTCTGAGTCAAAAGAGCTTGGTGTTTTGACAGCTGATTTTTTTTTCTGTCTGAGGAAAAACACTTGACAGAAATTCTTCACCCAACTGCACTTCGCTGCTTCTAAGCCACACACCAGATGTTGGATAGTTTCTTTTCTGCCTGCTATTCCACAGCTCCCCCGTACCTCCCTGGCATGCCGTCAGTCCCCGGCGTGACAAAGGCCAAACCACATCACCCCGAGACCCGCAGCGAGCAACCGCGTGGCGCCTGCAGGCCGGTGACAGCTCCAGGTCCTGCCCTCGACTGGGTCTGCTGAGGCCATAAAGCTTGAGGATAATGACCCCAATTCACCAGATTCGTGCTAAAAATTGTTGGGGCATATTTATTTGTTCGTGCTGCGTCAGTCCCTGTCTGGTAATGTTTGTGCCTGTGGGGGCCACCTTGGTTTTCCTTCCTTCTGTGCTCTTCTCCTGCAGCCACTGCACCGCTGCCGGTGCTCTCCTGCTGTCCTCCCTGATGCCTCTGCTCATGTCTTGCTACATGCAAGACCCGCAACAGAAGAAGCTGCCATGGAAAATTCAGAAATTTCCATGCTGTCTTTTTTCCTGTTGTTTTGGCTGCACAAACAGTTTCCGCAGGCGTCATGGATTGATGTGCACAAGTTAGGGAGGCTGGGGGGCATGGCAAGCACTGCGAGAGATGGGCCCATGCCGTGCGCGATGGATGGTGCTGACTGTACGTCCTAACAGAGCTGCAAGAATTCAGACGTTTGCCATTAATATGTATATGAATCTGAAAGCTGTTTAACCCGGCTCTCACATCTGCCTGGTGGGAGCACTTCAGCACTGATGTGTTGCTCGTGTGGCTGCTCGCAAGGCAGGAATTTTAAACCTGACTGCTCAGACAGCAATGGCAATCCAGTGTGAAACTCTACACTTGGTGGAGGAATTTGCTATTCGCTTTGTGTGAGTTAGTTACACAAATCATCTAATCAGGGAACGCCACATGACTGAACTAGGCAACACAGCATGAATTTGCAAACATTTGCCATTCCCAAAAGATCTGCAAGCCAAGTGTTATTCACTGAAGAAATTCCCAAATAATATCAAATAAATAAATTAGAAAATTACACGAGCTCCGCAGACAATTCATAAAGCAGAAGGGAAAGTGAGATTCGTGGCATCAGCTATTCATTCAGCTTTTGAAGAAAAGGGGGAAATTGTTTCTCAGCACAGTGAATCAATCTGATGCAGCTTACTTCATTATCTGCTGAACATTGAGGGAGCGAGGGGAGTGCTGAGAGATTTGGAGTCACTTCTGACAGGCTCTCAGTCGAATGGATGTTTGCTGCTGGCAGAAGTTTTTCTAAGTGGTAAATTTGTCTGGGATAGTTCTGAAAGCACATTTAGTCTTGGATGATGGGATTTGCAGTATGTCTTACTCACAGCCCAAAATGCTTGAGACATGAACCTGCTCATGCTACAGAAGTTTGCTTTTTGTTTTCCCTTTTCTAGAACTCCACGTTCAGCCTCATTACCTGAGCAGCACTGTCTGTATTTTCATCCCATGAAATGCTGCCCTCCCAGTGACTGCCAGCAGGGCTGTCACCCTTCCCTGCCCTTTCTGCAAAGAGGCCAGGGTCTGTCCACATCCCCAGGAGCGGACAGGCTGTGCCTGCCCCTGGCAGGGCGCAGGCTGAGCGAAGCCTCCTGCACTCTGTGGTCTTACCCCGTCAGCCCCTTTCCTCTGTAAGGGCACCCACTGAGAATGAAGGATGAGAAATAAAACAAAGTAAGATTGCCCAAGCTTCTAAATAAGAGATGGAGAAGAAAAGCTAGGTGCTTGATTTCCACATGCATTGCTCCTTTCTGACACAGGTTTAATATCTCCACATAATATCTCCTCGACCCATCCTGCAAACCACTAGAAACATTTTCTTTGGAAGAAAGTTTTCACTGTTATCGTCATGTACCACATAGCACAGATGACATGGGTTGAAGTGATTTTCCCCCTAGTTTGCAATGCAAAGTAATACACTTTACTGAAAAGTTGTTGCTTGGACCAAATGCTGAATATTTATAAGTTGTGTTTCTTAAGAGCAATTCCTACTGTTCCTGGTCCAGTATTGCTTCCTTTTGGCACAACCTGTATTTACTGTGACTGCAGGCATTTGACTTTTGCTGTTAAATTGCCATCAATGTATTGTTACTAAACTAATTACAGCATGACCCAAGTACAGTGTGTTATAATACACTGAAATTCTCCTTAAAAGAACACTTGTTAGGGTGAGTAAATTCAAATTACTTGGTGAGTCTCGGCTACATAGGAATTCTTTTTCTGCTGAGGATGTAATGAAAACAATCAGTCTAACTGAATTCTCCAAGTTGAGAGCGTTTGACAACAGTATTGTAGTGTATGCCTAGTGACACCCACGTTAAGATAGATTTAAAATGGTTTCATAACCTTAATTTTAGTAGTTAGCAGGGCAAGTGGTACCGTATCTCTTACTGCAAGACTTGACTCTCAGCTCCTTTAAGTGCATTTTTAATAACTCCTGTGAGAAGTATTTCCGCCAGCAGAACATTTCATTGTCACTAAATACCACTCGCTCTCAAGTCTGTCTCTTGTTTGGAAATGAAACTTTAATGCCCAAGTAGAAACAATTCATCAATGCAGGGAACATCGCAGTTGGATCAAACACCCTGAATGGTAATGATGCTCCATATGCATGTACATGAGAGTTTTGGTTATTAATTTCTTGCTGCTTATTGTGGTGAGGGCCGTATGCAACCACAAACATGCAAACTTGCAGCCTAGCACTGAGCAGGGACCATGCACAGCCCGTGCTGCCCTGTTTGGCCGTACAGACCGGACTCTGGTGTTCGGACATTTTCTCATACCAAACAGGCGCAGCATCAAAAAGTACGTGATGCTCCCAACTTTGCATCCCACCTCCTGGACTTCTGGCTGGGGAGAGTCGAGCCTTTTCAAGGGGAAGCTTTCCTGTAACACTACTGAGTGTTTACTCCATCCCCAGCCCCTGCTCCCAGCCCTTTTGGCATCCAGCTGAACACTGTTTACATCCCTCCCCATGCTGTTGTTTCTCAGAGGGAGGGAGGGTGGCAGGGGCTGGCGGTGGCACAGGAGGAAACCCTACCTTTTTCAGTCTGAAACTACAATTCTTGTCAAGCAAAACAATGTCAACAGTGCAGAGGAAGCTTTGATAGTGCAAAATGGATGGACACATTATGTGTTTGTTTTTTTTTTTTCTTCTTTCCCAATAGGTTATAACTCAAAGAATTCCTCTCCCAGAAAATCCACCCCCCCTGCTTTATTTTCCCCTTTTCCAAAGGACAGCAGTGGCAACCCAGGCACGTTTTACATGCTAATAACACATCTCCCTCAGCTGACAGGCTCCACGCCTTTCCCCTTCCCCTTTTATTCCAGGGCACCTTCTCCTCTCCCCTCTCCCACCCCAGCAGCAGCCCGGCTGGCTCGGTAGCTAAGGGGTAAAGTGTTTCCTGCATGACCTCTAATGCATTTTGCTCCCGGGGAATGCACGCTCAGCAGGGACGAGCTCTGAGCCGCTGGTCCCCGAGGTTTTTCTGCCATAAACCCCAGGGCTAGCGGCTTCTCCCCCTGGCCCCCCACCTGGCTGCGCAAACAAAAGGCACCCAGCAGCAACAGCTCCCTTTGTTTCGCATGCAAATCCTACCTCCGATAGCTGTCACATCTTCCTCCGAGGCGAAGCCTAATTGTTAATAAACCGGGATCCAGTGGTATCCTCCAAAGTGCCACCAGTTGTTAAGCGCTGTCATCGTCCCCTCCCGGCGCTTCAGCCTTTTTGGACCATCAGTGTCACAACCCCTGCTAACTCATAGCCGAGTGCTCCCTGCTCAAAATGTCTGAAAGAGTTTGGGAGGACAATAGGAATGACAGGCACACTAGACAGCCATGCTTGAAATTAGTTATCTCGAGCTCACTTAAGGCTGTTTCGCCGTGTTTGTAAGGCACGCTCTCGGGAGGGTTTATTAGGCTGGACGTGCCATTCCTGCCGTGATTCAGTGCCGTAATAGGATGGCTGCTGGAAACGCAGCGATCGCTCTAACCCCGCTCATCCCTCCGGAGCTTTTAAACCTCCCCGGGAGGGGAAATAGCTTCAGTCATCCTTAAACTTACTGAGGCTACTGTTTCTGCAGAACAGGGCTTCGCACGTTGTTTGGAAACTAAGGACAGAATCCCTCCTGGGGCTGGAAGGTGCTGTCGTGCCCGGTGTGAGCGGTGAAATGCAGGCGGCAGCATCCGTCCCCACCGAGCTGGGGCTGCCGCAGGAGCTGGGGAGAGCGGTGGCTGGGGCTGAAAGTTCACAAAACTCTGCGAGGCAGACGTGGCAGGAGGGGAGCGAGGGGGATGTATGGACCGGGCCGGTATTGTGTTTATAGTCACAGACGTAGGCTGTGCTTCCCTACAGGGAAAGTGCAGTTTGCACACAGGAGGGTCTCACAACCCAAATTTGCAAGTTGGCAGCATCCAGGATAATAATGAGCTGAGGAAACACAAGTGAATTGTGGTATTTGCAGTGCCTGTGACGTGGGGAAGAAGTGTTGTAAGAGGATGCTGCTGGGGAGTGCTGCTTTCAATGAACCTGTGCACATCCCTTGATCCTGGTCACAAACACCAGTGCTCTGCCGGGATCTGGTAGGGTTCCTCTCCTTGGCTGACAGTTCATGACCAGCCCTGGTCAAGACAGATCAAAGCTTGCTAACGTCTGCTGTCAGCTCCGTGTTGCTGATCCCAGTGTGGTCCCTAGTGGTCAAATGTAAAAGCCACCGGTGCAAACGTGTCTGCCAGCAGCGATGGCACACGGGGTGGGGGGCGCACAGGCAGGCTGGGGCCAGGGCAGGCTAGGAGGGAGCAATGGGGCAGTTAGCACCTGGGCTGCTGCTTCAGCACCCATTTGGCGTTTCCATACTGCCCAGTCTGACCCTTGGATTAAAGTGAAAATATGCATGGAGACACGTCGGAAAGGAATGGCACTTGGAGGATTAAGGAGGAAGGCAGATCGCAGCCAAAACCCACCTGTGGCTGCCTCACACCATAGGAATGAAGGGGCTAAAAGTGCAAATGGACGTTAGGTTTTTTAATAACTGGAAGCTGAAGGGCACTGAAGGTGAGTTAAGGAGTGAGACCTCTCTTTTGACCACCAACACAGAAGATGCCCACACCAAAGAGCATGTCAGTGTGCACTCCCATATCTGCCTTCATGCAAACTGAGCAAAAGCAAGGCTAACGTGCACAGCCACATCCCACAGATGCTGACGGGGACACCTGGGACCACTACGGGCATGACATTTGCCCCCAGATCAACACCACTCCTAGCTGGGCTACCTTCACACCCAGTGCTTCCCCATGCCTGTGCTTGCTATTGCTCTCCCGCACCTGAGGTCCTCTCTTCCCCTTTCTGTCCCCTGCACCTTACAGTCAGTGTGGGAAGGGAGGTCTCAGGGCTCCAGCTTTGGTTCTGGTTACAGTGGGGGACTATTAGCACCTTAAGTTTTTCCCAGAATTGGTGGGAGCGAAGGGGACCTTGAACTTGGTAGGCATGAACCTAAGGGTGGGCAACAATCACGTGCTCACTGCTAGCACAGCTGCCGGGACCATTCCAGCTTTGTGAATAATTTAAGGAATTCTGCTCCTGCCACCTACCCGGCATCTGCACAAGCACTAAATTCACTTCAAAGGGGAAGAAAAAAGGAAAGAAAGAAGAATTCTCCTTGTCCTCAGCAATATATGTGTCTCACTACAGGGCTCACCATGCAATTGATTTGTGTGTGGGATGACACAGCAGATCAAGAGGCATTGGGCAGATTCCTATTGAAGATAGATGGGCCTGGGGGCACCAACTTTGTTGCTGATCTTTCAGAGATTTCAGTGCCAAAGTGGACACAACAGTGTTCCCTGACAGGTTAAAGCAGGTGACCATTGCCACCTACGTCCACGGTTCCCCAGCCATGCATACTGAACAAAATGAGGCTCATAAAGAATGCATGACCCCAGCTGCCATCACTCTTACGCAGCCAACAAACCACCCCTGGACCTCGCTGCCACAGCGATCCCAAATGCTGAAGTCCTTTGTGATAAGTTAAACCACTCAGCCTTGGTGGTCAACAGGTGACAACTATTTGTGAGAGCTGTGGGATCCAACAGACAGGGAGATGTACTTACATTGGCTCGTAACTGAAAGGGGGGTAGTTTATTCAAGGAGTAAGGTGATAGGAAATGACCAGAAAGATCTTCTAGGGGTTGGTAGTTCAAAATAGTTCCATTTTAGGGTGATACTCTGAGTTACACACCTTTTTCTCAAGCTTTTTCTAATCACTGAGCAGCAACAGCAGCTGCCACCAGTGATGGGGCTCATGTGTGCTCCCCACCCACAGCACAGCTCTACGGCCCGTGCACCAGTCTGCTCCCTGCTGGAGACACGATACAATGATGAGCTCTGAGCTGGTCAGGTATGGCAATCTCCTACCTTCCCATGCTGCTGGAGTGTTGTGAAATAGGGCTGCTCTGGGAAACAGAGGGCTCATGGGTGCTTTCCCTTGGCTTTCCCTCAACAAAATGCTAGTGACTTCTGCTGAAGCTGCTGTTCAGCCCTGCAGTAGACCCTCTTGGAGAAAACCCATCACTTGCAAAGGAGCTGTGGCAATTTTATAATGCCTGTGTCTATTTCTGACCGGTATGTGCATAGGAAACAACAGAGGAGGGATGAAGGAGAAGAATTCAGGAGATTTGTAGTTTGTATGCTGATTGTAAGTCAAACAATGTAATGAATGGAGCGACTAATGCCTAATTTCATTATGAGTCATCCTAATTATAGTGAGAATTTGATAGATACATAACTGGAAAGTGTAACTATCTGTTACACACTCCTAACTGCACAGGGAAGTACACGGTATAATTAAAGCTGCAGGTTACACGTACCATAACCTTTTCTTCCCCTGTGGTGATAAGTTCTCCAGCAGCATTAGGAATTTGTTTTGAAGTCACACACCTAGCAGACAGCACTCTTTCTACCTGCTTGCTGAGTCTTTTTCAAAACGGATCTGCATTTGAAAGCAGCAGGGAGCCTCCCTAATCCATAGATAGTCGGTGTGATTCGGGTATTAAAGGAGTGACTGAACGATGGCTCTTCCACCTGGGGTCTCTCTGAAGAGTGTCAGTGGTCAGTGCGGCGTTAGCCTGCAGAGCTGCAGACGCAATATGCATGGCAGGGAACAGGCTGTATCAAGAATGTGTAGTTACAGCGTAAATGGAAATTAGTCCTTAGTCTTAGCCAGGAGAAGGATCCTTAAAATGAGGTAGGCCAAAATCCTGTCCTATATATCTAGTAGATACTCTTGGGCTTTGTGGAGCCTGAGCTGAGAACAGAATTCTGCAGATTCTGGCAAAATTTCCATAGAAAGGACGAATCCAGCATGGGAGTTGATAAACTTCTAATGGTGATATTGGCTACATGTTTTAATCCCACCCCTGGCTTTTAGGTGAACAAATTTTCAAGAAAGCCTTTGACGTCAGTCCCCAAGTTTGCAGCTCTGGCAGATCTCCCTTCCTTTCCCTGGGGTGAAACAGGCAGCACTGTGCCTGCAACAACGCTGAGGTGCTACAGCTGACATGGTGCCACAGGAAAACACTCAGCCAGGCTATCCTGGCTGACCAGGCACAGCCTAGAGCTCTAGCATAAAGCCAGAAATCAGTTGTCTCCTGATGGTGAAGTGCAGCCCCGTGTTTGGCCATAGCCTTGCAGTCTCTCTCATGCTGACGGTCACAGGACACCCAGGCATCCTGCAAAGCTGTCCCCATCTGAGTTATGGTGCACAGAATAGTTCATCACTTCCACCTGCTGCCTGGCTGTCCCCCTTTATAAGCCGTCTGTCTTTTCCTCACACAGCCCTTTCTGAGCCACTCACCGAGGAGAAAACATCTACAGCTGGGGTGTTGTTAAATGACCCAGAAGTGGCCGCTTCGCAGGCTGGCACTGCTTGATGCAAATAGATTGCTTCTTGCTGGGAAAATCTCCCTGGCTGACAACCCATTGGGTACTTCTGACGATAGTTGTTTGAGGAGTTAAAACACAGGCTCCTCTGTTTTTGCATATTCAGGCTATCACCCTCCTCTCACTGCTGGTACTAAATCCTTCCTGCGCGGTTTCGGCAGAGCCGATCTCCTCCCTGTTTGCTCGACAGCTGCTGGTGTGCACTGCTCCTTCTCTTTGCAGTCAGCTCTTGCCATCTGCCATCATTAAGTTGCCCAGGTGTCGGAAATCTTCTTGCTCTTCTCTTGTAAACATTATTTTGCCTTCTTCTTCGCTAACTCAACCTTCGTTTATGTAGAGGCTGATAGATCAGGCTGGCTGTTCTCAAAACATCTGCTGCGCCTCATACTTGGTGGGGGTGGATGGGGAAGAGAGTACGTATCCTTGCTGGCAAAAATAAAGACTGCTTAACCCTTCCTTCACTTCCCATCTCCAAAAGCTCGCTGTCTTACTGCGCTTCCAGATGTGCGAGTTAATTAATATTTGCCAGTTGGGATGCTGCACACAGCAAAGCTATCATAAAGCACAGCTAGTTTGCAGAAGCAGCAAAGCTTCCACATGCTGCAATGATGCCTAGCACCCGGTGGTACTGAGGAGCAGGTACTGGGAAGTGCCTAAGACAGGTACCAGAAAGACAGCAGAATAAACCTCTTCCCCTCTTCAGGCTGCTTCTGCTGGTGCAAACAGCGCCTCGCTGTTTTTTTTCCTGCTCGGATATGGGTCAGGCATCCTTTTATGATTACCTGGAGGGGAAATTCAGACTCAAATAGCATCTTTCACAATGATGGGTAGTGTAAACTATTGAATTCTTTGGGCAGAGATGACGAAATTAAATGATTTCTGCTGCACCCAATCCTCCTCAGTAAATCACCGAAGATTGACTGTAAGTTTGAACAGCAAGAGAGCAGAATCCAGCAGAACAGGCTGCCTGCACAATGCTGCTCGCTGGGCCCAGGGAATGTTTACTGCTTAAATGCTAGTAAAATATGTATCTGGGGATGCACACCCAGCTGCTGGGGCCAGTCTCCAAGGCGTGTGTAGAGTAATTCCAACAGGATTTCATGCTT